CAGGCTGAGAAATTTTTCCATTTCCTATACCCTGCCCTTCTGTTTCTCACCCTTTAAATTTCCTATCGAAAAAAACAGCTCTCATTTTTGGACTTGCATCTCCCTTCCTGCCCTAAAAAAGTTTCCAGTCTTCCTATCCTGTGTCATATCCCATATCCTGTAACTACCCCTCTCCATGCCCTTCTATACCCACCACCCTCTCCCTGCCCAGCCATATCCTGTCTCCCATACACACTACCCTCTGAGCAGAGTCACCTTTGATCTTTCTGTCTTCTGTCTTCCCCATCCTTCCTGGATAAGCTCCAACTGGATTGGCTATGTGCCTTAAGCCTTTGCTCAGGTACAGACTTTACCTTACCTTTTCTGCTCTCCAGGATCAGATGATAGATCAATCAGGTTGTGGGACTTGAAGACAGGACAATGTAAATATGTTTTGAAGGCTCATACTTGTGCAGATGTTTGCTTTGATGATGATAAGGTCATCACAGCCTCATTTGACAATACTGTTGGCATGTGGGACTGGGAAACAGGAGAGAGATTACAATGTTTTAGGGGACACACAGCAGCAGGTAAAATAAAAAACATTAACAGGAAGAAAATACTATCAGATTCCACTTATTGACAGAGTGAGAGAGTCAGATGGGAAAACATTTGGCTCCTGACATGAATCACAGATGATGGCCAAATATTTCCTCTCCAGCCCTACCTCTGTCAGTCATTAGGTATCTTCTCACCTGATAATCCTTTCTTCTTTAACCTTGCATCTTGCTATATGACTTTTCCAACCCTGTACATGCCATTGCATTAATGACCCTTATACAGGAATTTTTCCTTAATGTTTTGTATTAAAAGTGTATGCTGTCTGGTATGTGTCATATGATTGGTGATTGTAATAATTTAATTTATTGTGGAGGATTGGGTTCCTTCAGAATTCAGTCGGTACATTTAAACCCTTTACACCCTAATATCAGTATGCGTATTCTCCATAGAGTTCTTTGTACATTTCCTAAGGAATTGACAAGGAGAATTTGTTTAACTGTCAAGAGTGTCTTTAATTGGTCATCATTTCCTTTATTCTTGGGAGCTTATTGTCTGATTAAGGGGTGATATTGTAAGGAGAAATGAGATGATAGTCACTCTTGGGGGTTTAACCCTTTAACTCCCATGAGTGACCAAGACAGAATTTCTCCTCACAATATCAATACTATGTCAAGCAGACTAGTGATGAGAAATAAAAGAATTTAGTGAGAATATAATGGTGGGATTATCAGTTGATCAAATACCAAATTCTCTAAACTAACATCATAATAATTGTATAGCAAACTGTAAGGAGGATTACTGTTGAGATCTTGATCCTCACAGGAACTCAACAGGGATTGAACCTAGCCAACCTTTGGCAATACTAGTTCACAAAGCAATTATTAACCTTTTGACTCCCAGTATCTGATTGTCAATTCTCCTCTCTAGCTGCTACACATTTTCTTGTGAATAAGTTGCAAGAATTTGGTGTTAGATCAAGATAACAACTTCTACCTGATAACTTTGAGTAATCTCATCTCTAGTCTGCTGGATCGCTTGTGGTTATCATATGGAGAAGTTATAAAAATATGTTAATTACTTCTGGGAGTTAGGGTCAACAAAGCCAATTTTTGTATTTTAGTGGGCTTGTTGACCCACAAAGGAATCTGATTTCAAATAGTATGTTTATAACCATTAATTATGAAAAAAAATCATATCACATCCAGTGGGTATTTATCCTAATTAAATGCAATTGAGATCATGGCAGATAATTTTTTTGTAGACAGGCTCAGAGCAATTGCTTCTCAACAGGATGCTGTTTCATGGCTTAATGTGTTGACTTCAACCAGGGCATACATGCAACCACTACTTGCAGTTTCTCCCTCACCCCACCCTCCCTGTTTCCTGCAGGGATTTCGGTAAATTGTTCTTGACAAATACTAATCTCTGTTTACCACAGTGTTCTCAGTTGATTACAGTGATGAACTGGACACTGTTGTTAGTGGTTCAGCTGACTCTACCCTCCGGATTTGGAAAATGTCATCTGGACAATGCGTGCAGACCAGATATGGTCACTCAGACTGGGTGGTAAAGGTATCTACAAAATTTCAGTCTCTATATAAAATATTTTTTTTCAAACATGGAAGAGGATGAATTAAATACAATCACATGTACTCCCCTTTTAAAACATAAGGCCAGTTCATTCTGTAGTGTAATTCTGAGTGAGACAATTTTCTTCCATTGTGCTTCTCTCCAACCAGTAGTTTAGATAAGTGCTAGAAAAGTTTAAGGGAAACTTGAAAGATCTGTGAGGGAAAGAAGGGTTGTCTGTGATAGACTTGCATCTTATCCAAAGTTGAGTAGAGACAGCAATTCGCCATATGCAAAGAAAAGGTGAGATCTGTCAGTAACAATGCACTGGCCAATTAGCTTTGCAAACTCAAGCTTCACGCGGCAATATGACTTAAAGATTTCTTTTTTTTCTTCTATTGATCTGCAATCTCTGACTTAAACTTGGCAACTTAAATGAGGGCAACATGAAAAATTAAAATGGCAAACTTACAAATAGCAATATCATTTACAAGTGTATTTCTTTCCTACTTTCGACTGGCGACCTCAGATCCAAATGAATCTCAGCACCTGTATGTGATTGCTGTTTTATGTTTTTTACACAAAGGTGATCCTCAAAAGAAGTGAAGTAGACACGCACACTCATAGAAAGGGTCAATACGTACTGCTCAGTATGGACAAACGAAACATCAAGGTATGTTTTAATTTCATGGCCATCGTGACCATCGCAATAGTGTTAAGCTGGAAAGGAAACTTTGTAGAAAAATGCTACTGAGCAAGTCATCTTGATATCTACATGTACTTACAGCTGTGCTTGGATTGAGATATGGACCATGAAGGTCCAATAGGACCTAGATAGAACAAGTGCGCTATGTTCTAATTAGCGATGCAGCATTCTTTGCTTTCGTTTTGTTAAGATCTGGTCTGTCGATCGTGAATGCTACAAGTGCCTGGCTACATTAAGTCCTGACACCGAGTCCACTGTCAACCTACAGCCTCGACTTCAGTTTGATGGACATAAAATTGTGTGTGCTTCAGAGACAGCGATTCTGCTGTGGGATTTTAAAACTTTGCAAATGACAAGGTAAGTCAGGGAATTTCAATTTCGCTACGTATTCACTCGATACTGCAAACAAATAGTGTAACTTGTCTTAAATTAGGGGCTGTTATCTTTACTGCTTTTCCACGCATTGTGCGTGTTGCACGTGGGAATCACACGCGCAACTTGAGCGGTACTACGGTTAAAAACTCTGCAAAGAAATCTTCGCCTTGTATTTGAAATATCTGTGATTTTGTTTCGTTTCCTTTGGTGCTTCCCTCCATATAATGGTATGATACTATCATGTGACTATGTATGGGAACACTAGATACATTGGTACTGTTGTCACTGTTGCATTGAGTAAAATTGTGAAACGTATTAACAACTGGGTTGAAAACGTAAATTAGCCACCGTAAAGAATAAAAAAGCTGA